CAGTTGGGAGGAAAGAATCTTTTAGTCCTTAAGTGAGTGCTAAACAAACTCCTATTCCAGATCTCAGGCCCTCTTCCAGAAAAAGGGGGAAAACAAGACAAGCAGGGGGAAAGCCCTTCTTTGTACATGATATGAAGAAGGGGGGGAAAGGCACAAACCCATTTTTTCATTTGCAGGCCACGCTGTGGTAAAGCTGATACAGTCATCCCACTTATGTTTGTACCACAGGGCTCTTAGCTACATCTCCAGTGTCATTTAATCTCGTGAGCTGCTGCATTTAGCAGAATAAGAATAGGATGCCAGTATGAACTCTTGAGTTTCCTTGCTTTTGTGTGATTACACATCATGCACGTTCATAGATGTGGGGTTCTGAAATGCATGCAGTCCAACAACAAGAAAAATGTTATTCCTTGGGCTATTCCTCAGGTATGTTAGGGCAATTTTGCAGCACTCCATCAGCACAAAGCTGTCCTAACAATGCTAACATTACTGCCGCTCTAGAATCCCCCCATGTATAGGGATCACTAAGTGTCAGAGTCTCCATAGTGCAGATGCTACTATCCCCTTACTGAAGCCAAGGTGGTTCTGTACCCTCATGATCCCTGCCTGCCATAAGAGCCCTTTGGGGTTGCTGGCAGTCAACAGAACTTAGAACAGCCCCTAGGCTGCTGCAAATGGGCCCAGGATTAGGGGAGTGCAACAGTAGCTTAAAGTCTGCGCCCGCATCGACCTTGTCCTGAGCTGCTCCAAGAACTTCTTGACCACAGCTCAGGAACTGAGCCCTTGTGTTTATGTGCCGTAAGCGTGCCGACAGCTCCACAGAACCATGCAAATAAAGAGTTACAGTAAGTCAACCGCATAGTTCAGGAGGGGACAGGTGAAATTGTTGGTCTTTGGAAAGCATTTCCTAATCTAGTCGGAGTACTCATAACTGCTTTATTTTTTTAATAGAAAGTATTGGGGTCCATTGTATCATTTTTATCTCCTTTCCCTTGTAGCACATGATGCAGGTGGAGAACACGTCATCTCTCAGCAACTTTGGTAAAACTTTCAATGTGAAGGGTTAGTACGGATGTTTTAGCAACAGCTATGCAATGGAAATCAGTTAAATTCATTACATTACTATTGAAGTAGATCAGTTCATAGGAATTAAACCAAGGCTGTCAGAGAGTGAGTATATTTTCTGTTGCAGTCTCGTACCTATCCTATAGGAAAGTATTTATTCCTTCCTGACCTGCCCCTGTCAGTCACCAACTCTTTCATAAGTGGACTCACTGTTTAGTATGTACTTGTACCTGCGTAAAGAGTGGCGGGGACAAGTATTTGCTGCTTCAGAGAGAGAAACCCTTTCTCTATAGCCATAGTATTACATTTTTGTTAAGTAGCATAATGCAAATGAAGGAGCCAAAACATATTACCATTTATTTTCTTCTTGAACTCTGAGCTTTAGATACTCTGGGGCACAGATAATTATTATGTATTAATAATAAAATTTATGGAGTGTTGTAAATTTATCTGGCCCTCTACAAACTTAAATACGACATATTTCATCCATAAAGAGCTAGCAGTCTTGGGAGTTGAGAAAAGGGAGGGTGTGGAGAATATTAAAAAGGAGGGAGGTGGGATTGTTTGGCTAGGAGGGTTTAAGGAGTGATTTGAAGGGGCTGTGGAGGAGGTGCACTTGGCAGGGAAGAATTTGGATGATAGAAACCAGAAAGTGAAGAATGGGAAGACGAGAGGAAGTACAAAGAATATTGGGAAGAAGGGCTTGAAGAAATGAGAGAAGAGAAATATGGGGATAAGATTATATAGGGCATTGCATGTGACAACAGCTGTCTTGAATTTTATGCAGTAAGAGAGGAAGGAGGGGCTGTCATGCCTGGCTTTGAAGAACAGTCAGCAGAGAGAAAAACATTGCTCCTTTTAGCATCAGTCATGGTTACTGTGCAACTAAAAGACAGCATGTTTGAAAGTTATAAAGGGAACTTTTTGCACAGTGTACATTTAGTCTGTGCACTCAGACTATCATTGAGGCCAAGAGTTTAGTAACATTTGAAAAAGGATTGCATTTTTATATGGTTACCAAGAATATGTAGCGTTAAAAAAAAAAAAAACGGAGATCCGGAAGGGATATAAAACCTCATTCCTCAGGTCATAAACCAACATCTCAATAGTGGGGTCAGGAAATAAACCAGGTGGGCAGGTTATCTCATTACAGTCTACTTGCAGAGCGTTTTGCACCTTCTGGTGGAGCAATTGGTACTGTTCACTGGCAGAAACAGGACAGATGGACCCTTGATCGGATCCACTCTGGCAGTTCCTATGATCCTGTGTAACTTTGTACTTTTAAGGAAAATGCAAGTTGCTGAAGATGATTTGGGGAAAATGTTATGACTGAACAGCACTGGGATTATTTAATGAAGTAAATTAGTATATTAAAAAGTTGGTGAAAATTTTGGATAATGTGCATCAGGCGTTACATAGAGAAGTGTGTGGCTTATTTGTGAGCTTCTGTAAGTGCTTTTTAATTGTTTTTAAACTTTTATGTGGTTTGGATTACTCTCCATAAACATGAATTTCTGAGTTCTTTGGTTTGAATGGAGAAAGTTAACAAATAATCAGTTTCAATCCAAGATTTGTTTTTAAAGGCTACACTGTCTCTGTAAGAATGTGTAAGAAGCTGCATTAAATTCCCCTTCCCCCACCTTTTAAATAAAATTCCTTTAGGAGAAAAAAATTGCACAGTCTATGTTATACTGAGTAATTATCCCCCCTGGGAAGCAGAATATAAAGATCTTTAAAGTCATTCAACTGAGAGAACAAGCACTTTAACTTTTGCCTTGCAGGAGTTATGTATTACATTATCAGCTGCTTGCTCCAGTGTCAGTGTGTCATGCCTTGCAGGTTAGCAGGTTTTGGCAGAGGAAATGAAACCCAGTCAGTTACTGCAGGATTTATAGTAGACCTGCTGTTGCAGGAAGTGGTGAAAAGTTGATTGATAGTCTGAGGCAAAACTCTACAGTAAGAAACAGGATGTATGTTTGCTATTTATACCTGGTTTTCTTTTTTCCCACATTTCAAGACATTCTCTTACTTTTTGTTCTCTCTGTTTATAAATTTATGGCACAGTTTTCTGGTAAAGCATGTGCTGAATTTCAAATACTTGAAGAAATTTTTACGGCTACAGCTGTACTAAATGAGCTTGCTAAGCCTGGAAGTTCACCTACCGTGTCTGTTGTCCCCTATTGTAGGCCTTACCTAAAGGGTCTAGCAGTTTTTTTGTTTAGTTTGTTCTTAGGTACAATACTAAATAAATTTAAAATAAATCTACTACTGTTTTATTCTGCAACATGTCCTAAAACAAGTGCACAGGTGCTGCTGTGATAGGAGAGAGAACACATATATGAAATAGGGCCCATAATAAGTTACATGGTTGCACCATGTTTTTCTTTTTAATTTTACATAGCAGGAAAGATCATTTTTGGAAAACTTAGTTTGAGATAATTGTCAGCTGATCAGTTCTTAAATCTAAATTTTTGGCGTTGTTGCTTTTTTAAAGTAAAATGAACTATTTTTGGCTTAATGAACATTTATTTGCTAAATGTTTGGCTCAAAATAGACCGATAGGCAAATGTTTCCCAAAGATTGTATTTTTTAACCTACCATTTAAAAAAAAAACTGGTCTAAAACTTACCACTTAGGTTTTCATATCAGTAAGCCTTGTTTTTGTAACGCAACATATTTTCTTACTCCTAACATAAATATTTATTTGGCATGTATCAGCAGTTCAGCCGAGGGAAGGTGTAAGACTCATTAAAGATGATACGGGAAGATTTGTCGTCTTAAAGAGGTGGGTTTTAAGAAATTAGAGAGGGCAGGGGAAAGAAGACGGGATTAGAAGAATGATGGTAGAAAGGAAGCATTGAGAATACAGTATATGAAATTATTTCTATTCAGGATTGAATGAACCTAGGGTGAATAATGTTTAGAGTAAAGTGGTGAGACTTGCACAGAGGAGAGACACATTTGTAACAGAGATGTAGGAGATTTCTCTTAGCCATAAAATCTGTGTCCTGCTTTCATTTCTTTTTTTTTTTTTTTGTATTTTGCAAATTTCCCATTTTCTGTGCATTTAAATGGATTAAATTTAATAGAATTACTTTGTCTTCACAAATTACGTCATTCAGTTGAACAAAACCAAGTCCAGTACCACCTTTCCCAGGTTTGTTAACATTGCTGTTTTGGAGGTGCTCATTTACTAGAGAAGTATGTTAACTGACGGTAATTTGTGTCCATTAGGATAAGAATGAAATGGTAATAAGAGGTTGGTATATATGTAATATAATTCTGAAGGCATCAGATAACTAAGGGGCATTAAAGGGGAAAAATAGGAGTTTAAAAATAGTGCAAGTAGCCCAATGAGAAGAACCTGACAAAATATATTCTGTAAATATACTGTATTTTTGGTAATACTGCGAGAAAATTGTCTTGCCCTATTTATATTTGGGGTACAACAAAGCCAACTGACTTAGTCCCCTCTGGATTCATGCCTTACCAAGCTGCTTCAAACCAGCTAATGACAGCCCCTTGGGTAGCCAAACGCTGCAGTTTTACAACATTCAAAATAGATAACATCTCTGCAGAGATTTCCTGTTGCTTCGTCATCATAGTTGCAGTTGGTGTTTCTCATTACAGTGTATCTCCAACGTTTATAAAGAAGTGTGTGCTTTCTTCTGAAAAAATCACTGTACATTTGCTGAGGGGACGATTTACGTAGCTGCTTTTCTAGCCTTGTGGGAGTGAATAAGTTCAAGTGAACAAGGGATCATTTTTATCTTTGTTTCCTGTATCTTTTCTGTTGCCATTCTGTAACTGAAGAAGGAAGTTGTTTGCAAACAAAATGAATAACAAAAAGGTTTAGCTCCCTGCTACTTATTATCAACTGGGAAACATTTGGTTTCTAGAGTTTAACAATGTGTTCTGTTCTTTTTTTTTTAAAGGTCAAAAAAGTTGGCAGCACTTGCTGAATCCCTACAGAAAGCCAAATTAACTAAGGCCCATTTAGGGTTTGAGCTGGAAGAGTTGGAATCAGCTGCACTTCTGGTACAAGAGGAAGAAAGTGAGTTAAAAGCTGTCAGCTCTGTTTCCAAGCAACAGCTGCCTTCCTCTGAATTGGAGACGAGTGACTCTGAAGAATCAAGCAGTACTTCATCATCTGAGACAGAAAGCTCTGATTCAGATGAACAAGAGTCCTCAACCAGTGAAGATGGGAAAATAAATTCTCTACAAGGCACACTCCAAGAGGAGAGGACAGCCCCACTTATTGACTGCAATGGATTAGGGCGAGACACAGACACTTTGACGTTAGATGTTAGTAATGAAAAATCGAAGGCTTCTTTACAATCTACATCTGTTCCTGGAAAACTGATAGAGGAATTAGGAAAGAAAATGCAGACTGCAATTAGGCTTTCAGAACAGCCCGAAGAATTGGCTACTGCGAGCTACACAGTTTTGCAAGAGAAAGGAGCAAATTATGCAGTTGAACCCCAAAGACTTTCTGAGGATCCAAGTGGAAAAGAAAATTTCTTGGAGGTTTCCCCAAAGAAAAACCTACTGCTGTTTGTTGGCAGCACAAATGAAGATGAAGACTAAACAAGCGTGTTAGGAAAAACTCTGACCCTTTACGTAATACAGCTCATCGCTATAATGTGATATTGTTCCTATATCTAATGTGTGCAAAAAGGAGGTGATATTTTTCCTGGGTTTTTTTTTCACCATGTTGACAGTTCTTAAACACAAGACTGCTTTGAAGAGAATCAACAAGACTTTTTCAAACCCTCATAATTAGATATATTTTGTACATCAGTGATTCATCAGAAAGTAAAATTTTGATCCCCAAATGTAGGAATCTGTAACTTCAGTAAATACTTTCAGGAACAGTTTTAATTAAGGTTAGTAATGGAATAAAGAGAGAGAATGAAATATAACTGAAAATAGTTGTACCATCAGTTAACTGCCTCAATTGATGACATCTTCTTGATAAATACCCCCGTATATTCATGATTTTTTTAATGACATTTTACTACATTATTGAATTTCAAATATTTTATTACTAATTTCTCTGCTTTAAAAATAATGATGAATGTCATAAAAATCCAATCAGCACTGGTAGTTTTTGTTTGTAGAGCCAAATAAATGTTCCTCATCTTTTTGTTAGTACAAAATAAAGGGAGTTTCTTTATTGTGAGGTCCAAGCAATGCTATGTATGACTTCTGTTTCTACAGTCCTGTTATAAATTGTTCTTTACCACTTTCAGCATTTGTTTATTTTACTGTGCTGTCCATTTTTGGAAATGTTTCTAGGTTGTCTCCTTTTCAAAAATGAAAAAATCTTGGTTTGTATTACTATTCCAGGGCTGTTTCTGGCCCCACTGAGGTGGGGAGACAATGTGGTCTACTGCTCTGAGCACAAGAATGAAAGCCAGGAACTCACAATTTCTAGTCCCAGCTCTGCCACTGATTTACTCTGTGTCTTTGAAAAAAGTCACTTAACCTCCCTATGCCTCAATTTCTCCATCAGTAAAATATGAATAATACTTGCCTATCTCAAGGTGGTGGTTTGAGAATATTAATTAATATGCTTATGGTAATAGTGAAGAGTCTGTTTTACAAATGAAATGCCATATTTCCAGGCAGGTATGACTTACCCATAAAAGGTTGCTTAAGGATGAAAGATAGCTTGAATGGTCTCTTGCTTTCGTGTGTGTGTGTGAGAGGTGTGGGTGTGGGGGTGGGTGTGTGTGTGTGAGGTGTGGGTGTGTGTTATTAATATTAAAATCCAATTTTGGGGGAATGAAAAAACAAATTTGAATTTGGCAGAGTTTCTGGTAGTTTGTCATTGGTAAGTGACAGTTCTTGAAAAGGGATGGTTATTGCATAGCGGACGGTGCCGTGCTGTCATTGGAACAGGGTAACAGATTGGTGATGAGGAACACCAGGATTTATGTGCTCTCATGGGAACTGTGAAACTCCAGCACATCTCAAATTTAGTCTTCCCACACTTACTTTTCGACCTTCACTTACAATTACAAAAGCATATAGGAAGTCACAATTTAAAAACATTAAATTCTTCACCCTTGTTGCAATAGTCCCCGCATCTCTAAAGTCAGCAGGCTCGCTCTGTGCCAACACATGCTCCGGTTTCATCTCTGTTGGTAGGAACTGCAGCCCTCACCCTACCGATACTGAATTTATAATCCTAGGTGCTTGTGAGTCACTTCACCGCCACTTGTTTTCTCCTCTTCCTGTAAGGGTGGAACCTTCCTCATCTTACAATTAAGCATTTCTTTCTCTCCCTACTAACAATTAAATCCAAAATGTAGCTGGTATAAGCAAGATGCATTTGAGAATGACAAAGAGAAAACAGGTAGAAATAAAGGGTGAATGTTGAAACTTACTAGAAACAGGGTGCAGAAAGCTGAACTAATATGGGTTGGGAAATGCAGGTTGCAAAAGTTAAAGGGTACACGTCAGAATCCACGTCTGCCGCTTTCGTTTTTTGTTTTCTCTCCCCCCCATTTTGTGGCAGGCTGCCAAGGAGAGCTGGTTTGCCTCTTCTCCAAACAGGTTTGTTTCCCTCTAGGAACTGGCTACTTCTTTTATCGTGAAATAAATCTTTGTTCCAAAGGGTACAAAGGTGGCTAAGGACATTACACCAATCTGCCTTTGTCCAGGCACACGAGAGCTTGACCTTTCCCCACTACTCCTCAAGGAACCTTTCTGGAGTTAAATACCTGCAGTGTCTCCTCAAAGTGACATTGTAGCAAATTCCGTATGGATAGGAACATATAGAACATAGTAACTCTCTGGGACACTTTGGGGTTTCACCCAGACCACCTCCCCGTTAACCTTGGTTGCTACCGTGCAGTGCAGCTTTGGCTCGGAGCCCTGATACCATCAGCCTGTTTGCAGCTCAGTGACCTCACCCTGGCTTCCACTTGCCTGGTTACTCCCTGCAGGGTGATGAAACAGCCCGTTCAGTTCAGGTTTCCCCAAAAATGTTCTCCTTCGAGTGCTCAGACCCTCTCCCTATAGCACTCTCAAAACCTTATCGAGTTTGCTGCTCCTGTAAAGAGACAGAACACAGCACCAGCCTGTTAGTTTGGCTGAGGATTTTACAGGTTAGTTTGAAATGCAGCAGGACTGAGGTGACTGTGTAGTAAAACAAGACTATTAAATTTATTACCAAGGAACAGATGTGTAAGTGATACCAAGTAGAAGGATTTGGGATAGAAATGGTTACAAACAAAAGTAAACATGCTTCAAAGACTGAAACCTAACTTAAGCTAGAGTGTTTTGTTTGGAGTAGCTTTCTCACCACAGTTGTTCTTCCAGCATGGCTGGCGAGTCCTTAAGCCAGGATCCCACACAGAGCCCAAAGCAGTGGTTTCCCCAGGAATTGAAATTAGGGGGGGGTGTTCGAATTTACCGGGGGGGTGTCAGGGCCGATGAAGGGTGAAGGTGGGCTGTATGGCACCATAGTAAAAACTGAAAAATGTTTCATGACCATTTTATTAGATTTAACTCATATTTTAAAATCATCACACAAATTAAAGTTGGCTACTCAAGCCTTCTATGAAGCACTATGTCTACATCCTTCTTGGTTTTTTGTTATAATTTTGCACAACTCTGTTAATAAACTTCTTGAATGCAATGTGTTCATCTTCAGTGGCTTCTCGTGTGTCCAGTACTTCCATTCCTTCAATTGATATGCTTATTAGTTCATTCACACGATCAGGCAGAAGGCGACCTTCTTTCAGAACACAAAATTCTATTCAATGATGAAAAAGAATGCTCAACTGTAGCTGTTGTGAATGGGAGTAGCAAGTGATGAATTCCTACTTCTTTCATCCCAGGAAACAGAACACAAAGATCGGGTGGAGCCACTAGTGATGATAAAAAAGAAGTTGAAGTCAAATCTTCATTCATTCGTCGTATGATATTCTACTCTGTGTTCAAATTCTCTATTCTGTCCTGATCACATGGCAGCCCCATTGCTGGTAGTGCCTCATTCCACTCAACTGTCGGTGTTTTATAGGACAGGGATCTGTAAAAGCTACGCAGAGGTTGAGTAGAATCTAGAAGTCGTCGTTGTAGATGTTTAAGAATCAAGTCTGTGTACATTTTCAGTTGTCTTAACAAACACTTCTTGTAATCTTCACTTAACGATTCAATATAACTTTGCTTCTTCCAGTACTTTTTCAATGGATATCTCTCTGATCCAAATGTAGCTTCTATTGCTGGACAAAGCTCTACTACTGTTGTAGCAGATGCCTGGATGGTATTGTTTAATGAGCCAAGTGGTTTCAACAGTAGACTTACGAGAGAGAGAATGGCAATAGTCTTCTCTGAACGTGGTAGCAAAAGTAATCCACCAGCCTCACTACTTAGATCTATCCCATCTTGGTAGATACTTTCCAAAGCCAGTAATAATGGCTGGAGTAATTTTAAGACAACCGCCAAGGATCGGTCATGAGAAAGCCAGAGGGTTTTTCCAGATTGGACTAATTTGAACTTCAATCCCAGTGTATCTTCTATATTTTCCAAGATATTCAGTCTTTTTGGACTCTTGCTGAAAAAAGAATATAATGAAGACATTAAATGTATAGCTTTTTTAATGTCTTTTGAAGAGTCTGCATCATGTACTAGCGCTAGTTGGAGTAGATGGCCTCTGCAGTGTGTATAGGAGAGATTAGGGTTACACTTTTCTCTGAGCAAAGCTTGTACTCCATGTCTTCCAGAGAAGTTTGCAGCTCCATCAAATGCACAAGCAGCCATCTGTTTGGGGTCCAATTGACAAGCATTTAACGCCTCTAAGATGTGGGTTGTCACAGGTGCAGTCGATGTGTCTTTTCTATAACTTGAACATCTAGAAATGCATCTACTGGCCTACCACTGACATCAAGATAATGTACACAATGACTTAATACTTGATGCCCATTTGCATCGGTGCATTCATCAGCCATGTATGCAAATTTTTGAAATGTGGTGAGAGAGTTCTTCACTTTTTCAACTGTTGAGTCTTCCACTATTGCACCACATGCTTCTAGCCAGTTAGTTGAGTTTCTTGCAGAAAGATAGTGAGCATTTGCTGGTCTTGTTCAGAACCAGGGTTCCACTTCAGGATGAACAAGTGACAATGCACTTAACATTGGCCTCCAGTTGGTAGTGTGTGGTATCTCTTGCTAAAATAGAAAGTAGGATGCCACAGCCATGTTTGTTTGCATGAACTGTGTTGTGTCTCCAGCATTCTTAACAGCCTCATTAAGTATTTCTAAAATTGGCTTTGAAAGTGGGCTTATAAGGCTTTCTGCATGTTGATGCACTCCAGAGGCAGGGTGTTTTGCAGCCTTTTCACGTAGTTTGTCAGCATTGGCTTTGCTGATCGGTTTGACAAACCAAGCTCTTCCACTTCTACCGATTATAACATTGGGAAGCTTTCCTTCTTCATAAGCTTTTTTGTAAGAAGTGCACCAGTAGCCATCTTTTGTAACTTCAATAAATGGGAGCACTTTGACCGACAAACATCGGGAGCTGCCTTTAGGTTTTGGAGATACTGGTTCTTCAGTGGGTAGCTGTATTTGTGCTTCAGGCTGGTCGGATGTAGATGCACCACTTGAACCTTCAGATGACATGTTGATATATTCTTGGTTCTTGATGTGTTCTTCACCTTGGTTAGTTTTTGAGGCCTTTGAGTGGAAAAATTGTTGTATTGTTTTTTGTCTTTTCATTTTCACTTTGACCTGCAACATATAAAAGAGATATGAATAAAGTAAATGTTTTGTTAGGATAATGCAAATTTAACATAAGGATAATGCAAGTTATACCAAAACACAACAGGTCTAGATTTCTAAAATATATATATATATATTTTAAAATGTATTAAATTTAAATTGACTTTTGAAAAATAAGCCATCACGGGATAAGAAGGCAGTCCTCTCATGGATCAGAAACTGGTTAAAAGATGGAAGACAATTTATTCCTACCCTTTATCAGTTTTCAGAATGGAGAGAGATAAATAGTGGTATCCCTGAGGGGTCAGTACTGGGACCATTACTGTTCAACATATTCATAAATGATCTGGAAAAGTGGGTAAACAGTGAGGTGGCAAAATCTGCAGATGATACAAAACTACTGAAGATAGTTAAGTCCCAGGCAGACTGTGAAGAGTTACAAAGGGATCTCACAAAACTGGGTGACTGGGCAACAAAATGGCAGATGAAATTCAATGTTGATAAATGCAAAGTAATGCACATTAGAAAACAATCTCAACTATACATACAAAATGATGGAGTCTGAATTAGCTGTTAACACTCAAGAAAGAGATCTTGGAGTCATTGTGGATAGTTCTCTGAAAACATCCACTCAATGTGCAGCAGCAGTCAAAAAAAACCAATGTTGGGAATTATTAAGAAAGGGATAGACAATAAGACAGACAATATCATATTGCCTCTATATAAATCCATGCTATGTGCACACTGTGAATACTGTGTGCAGATCTGGTCACCCCATCCCAAAAAATATATATTGGAATTGGAAAAGGTA